ATCAGGACTGACTGTGAGGGTTGCACATGTACAGGTAGACATTTTGTAGCAAAAGACGGGGAATGGTTGACTTTGCAATCCAGGAGTGGAGGTCCTTGGGACCATCAAGGGAGAAGAGCAGAGTGCAGGACCCTACCCAGAGAAACAGTGACGTCAGAGATGCAGGCAGAGATGATGATGTGGAGAGATGGAGCGGGTGGGGACTCTAGACCCAGAGACAGAGAAGAGTTGTGTGCTGATGACTAGGGGACAGGCTTGCAGTGTATACCCTTTGACTGGTTGATGATACATGGAGGGGATTGTATCCATGGTAATGAAATGATATACGATAGGATGAATGTACAGCTAATATTCTCCTATATAAATGATCACATAATTCACAATAAAAATATTTTTTTAAAAAAAAGTGACAATGGGTAGTCTTCATCTCTTGTGTACTCTGGATATGTTATCAGGAGGGATCAATTCCTGGAGGAGGACATCATGTTTGGCAAAGTGAGAAAGAAGTTGATCCTCAACAAAATAACTGCAACACGGGCTCAAACATAACAATTGTGAGGATGATATAGATGTGGCAGTGTTTCATTATGTTGTACATAGGGTCACTATGAGTCAGAACTGACTTGATGGCACATAACAGCAACAATAAATTTTTCTTAAAAGACCCCTTATTTCATAGCAATGTGGGGACTAGGCAGTTTCTCTTTTCAATATAAATTACACCTCCCCAAATTTCCTTTTTCTCTGCTATTCATAGAGTTTTCAGTGACCCTATGTACAACAAAATGAAACACTGCCACATCTACATCATCCTTACTTTATAAGGGCCAGTAATTCCTGAATGGCAACAATTTAACATTGGTACTAAACACTATATTTTGTGCTACAACATTGAAAACTATATTGTAAGTTCTTCAGTCAATTTACTTAAAAAATATGGAAAGGTATGGTTTGGCCAGCCATTTTTCAGTATTTTTCAATGAAGTGATAAGGATCTCTTGCAGTATATTTATTTGTCCATTATGCTAGCTATAGAGTACATATGACATTAAGTGCTAGAAATATGTGTAGTTCAAAATGAAATGCATTGTAAATGTAAAAGAGAACCACAGCTCAAAGAATTTGATATGAAATAAAGCGTGTAAAATATCTCATTAATTATTGTCATCTTAAACAAATGTTTCAGTAACATTTGTTGGGCCCTTTTGGTTATATAAATACACTATTACTTTTATCTATCTCCTTTAAGTTTTTAAAATATGACTGATGTAAAATTGCACAAATGGTCCTCATTTGTGGATCATATTATATTCCTATCAGACAAAGACGAACTACATAGTTGCTACTTCCCCGTGTCATTTGCCCGGGATTGCAGAGAATGGACATTAGTATTGGCTGCAATGTCCCTCCAAGTCCAATTGGATTTTTGTTTTGTTTTACAGAATAGGCCTGTTTTCATCTAGAGTGTAGTCCAGAGAACTGCGTGCTTTACTTGGTCTAGTTTCCTAAGTGGTTTCAGTTTCAAAGGATAGTGAATTAACAGAAGAAAATAAGTAATTGTATCTTGAGTCACTTCCAAGGACCCCGGGGGGTACAGTGTTAAAGAGTCTGGTTGCTAACCAAGACACTGCTCTTTGGGAGAAAGATGTGGAAACCCTCTGCACAGTTCTACTCTGTCCTGTATCGTCAATATATGTCAGAATCAACTCAGTAACAGTGGGCTTCATTCGTTGGATTTGAACCACTTTCTATGCCTTTTATCAAAATTACCATTCAATTGACAATTCAACAGGAGATTAATCTGTATGATCTAGATCCCATTTGTTGCAGAACATTTGCGACTTCAAACTCCAAGTCCATAGGTGTCACATTCTCATCAGAATTTTTTTCTCTCAAGAGTATAATAGGATATGGCAGGTGACTTGGGTACCTGGTCACTGATGAGCAGTTTCTATTTGTCGTTGAAGTTTCCATCATCAGATGTGAGAGATAATTCCGAAATTTATATCTAATTGGCATCAGCATTACTTTATGTATTTATGCTGTTGTTCCCTCCTGGAACATTTAATCATATTGAAAGGATCTGAAAGGAAAGTCAGTTTATATCACTACTGCTGAGATTTTGGGGTCAAATTAGCAAGCAGATCCATTAGATAAAAACAAGTTTTGGCATAATATGATAGCCATTTAGCTTTACAGGATATGAGGCAAGACTTAAATCAAGAACAGAATCTCTACCTCATCAGAAGACATGGGAGCTTCTTTGTCCTTTGGGCATGTGGCTGCTAAAGACAAAAGTGTTGACACAAAGAAACCACAGCCTTTATTTCCCACTACATTTGTACACCATCAAGTAAGGTGGAATAGCCATCTGCATGCTAATGCAGAGCTTCCCCAATGCAGGTGTTGTAAATAATGACCCACTCTCCCTATTTAGCTCAATTGTGCTGTTTCCAAAGAAACCATGTTATAGGTGGTGGTGGTGGGTGTGTGCCATGGAGTCGATTGCAACTCATAGCGACCCTGTACAGGGTTTCTGAGGCTATAAATCTTTACGAGAGCAGAATGCCTCATCTTTTTCCCATGGAACAGCTGGTAGTTTTGAACTGCTGAACTTGTGGTTCGCAGCCCAATTCGTAACCACTACGCTACCAGAGCTCCTTATGCTATAGGAATAAGAAGTAATTAACAACAGTCTTATAATAGCCAATGCCTGTTGTTGTTGTTAAGTGCTGTCAAATCAGTTTCAACTCATAGTGACCCTGCATAGAGTTTCCAAGAAGCAGTTGGTGGATATGAACTGCTGACTTTGTGGTTCACAGTCCAGTGCTGATCCTACAGCACCAATATTAACATTTTATTCACAGTTACCTGTGTATAAAACACAGATACGTTCATTAATTGGATTGTTTCTGATATAGATGAGCAGTTGTGGTCTAAAAACAATGAGGTCTCCAGAATAGATAGTTTAAAAGTAGTCCATGCATTCTATTTTACTAAAAGCATCAGCTAATATTAGCATTTTCATTATTAATTCTTCATTTGTTTGAACTAATAAATCAACATCTAAATTGTAAAAACACATTCAGAAGTTTATATTTTAACCAATTTTGAAATGCGATTTTTTTTTTAGCACATAAGTTGATTAAGTCAAAAGCTTGAGTTATACTTCAACGTTCAGTTGATTGACCTACCTGGGTGACTTACATTTATTTGCCTTCTGGAATGCAAACACAATCATGAGTTATTAAATTATGATGATAGTATTCAGTCTTTACAAATAAATAGTATAATCCCTAGTTGGTCATTTGCTTTCAAGATATAGAAAATATAAATTAGCCAAATATAAATTAGCCTTAAAATTTCCATGGAAATAAAAAAACCACCAGAGTAAATTAAGACACTTATTAACGAGTACTGGAAAATCAATTTTTAAATATTGAAAAATTGTACAGTAATCACATATAATTTGGATCATCAACTTTTATTTAAGAATTTCTTTCTCAGTACTCAATCTGTTTATACATTTTATTATTGAAGGATTTCCCAATAATTATACTTTTTGGTTTTTCAGCTGGAGTAACCTCTCTTTCATATTTCCTGAAATACCGTTTTACATATTATAGCATCAACTTAGATAATATTCTTATTATTAGAATCATTATAGTTTATATTTTTCACTTTCATATTTTGTAATATAGAGTTAATTGTCCATTTATGTTCACAATGCCATTAAATAACTTTTCAAGAGTTTGAGCCAATTAATTACTGTATTTTTTATGTTACTATTAAAAATTGCTCTCATGAAAAGAGATATCACTGTAATAATGTTAGAATTGCTGTTTTAAACCTTCAACTTTAGAAACAAAAATGTTTATTTAACTCTTACATAGATATTTATGCTATATTCTAAACAAATCCTTTAAATTAGTCATTAATTAATTTAATTACATATTATAAAGTACAAGATTCTTTTATCATAAGCATATCTCATTTATCGTTTTATTGATCATTTACTGTAAAATTATGATTTGTTTTTCATTTACATACACACAAAATTCTTTTTAATTAGCAATATTCAGTAGAAAAGTAGCAAAACCTTTTAGGAGTGTATAATCATAATATTAAAGGAGCTCTGGTAGCGTAGTGGTTACGAATCGGGCTGCGAACCTCAAGGTCTGCAGTTCAAAACTTCCAGCTGCTCCGCGGAAGAAAGCGGAGGCTTTCTGCTCCCGTAAAGATTTACAGCCTTGGAAACCCTGTTCAGGGTCACTATGGGTTGGAACCAACTCGACGGCACTTAGCAAATCATAATATTAAAGACATTAAATTTTACTTTAAAACATGAAATAAAGGTATTACAAAATTTAGTAATGATTTTAACAAAACCAATGTACCTATCTATATATAAGTTTAAATATGGAATATCTTATAGATTTTCTAAAAGGGTTATTATATAATGGAGAAATCGCATAAAATGAGAATTAAAAAATAAAGAAATAAAGAAGCAGTGTTGTTGAACTAGACTGTATTTTCCAAAGAAGTAACAAACATTTATCAATCAACCATTAAAACTTTTCCTCTATGAGAAATAAAAAGTGAGTCAATGATTCTGGTCTTTTTCTCCCTTTGAAATCACAGTCAGACTCATAATATAAAAATGAAATAAACAAGTGTATGAACTTATATGACACAGTATCCCAATATATATTTTCTGATTCTTTTAATTTAGACGTTCAAGAGTTATGTGGGCAATGTCAGAATTTTTAGTTTTCCATATAAATATATCATTTGTGTTTCATATTTATTAATAGACACATCCATATAGTGAATAAAACTTTACTGAAAAAAAGCAATCCATATTTATATGCTTCAATTTTCTTTTCATTATGTTAATGTATGAACACTTCATGATACAGTTTAAATTGTGATTCTGATATGCCTGTTAGACATACTCCATTGCGTTGCTAAAGGGTGTTCTGACATTTTTCTTGTGACAGGATGATGAGGTAAGGGAAAGTCGATTCAGCTTCACAGCCTATGGAATGGGGCCATGTCTGCAAGCAAAAGATGGTATGACCTCAAAGGGCCCAAACCATCCTGTCCAGGTAATGCCGAAAAGTCCAGATGAAATGAGAAAGGTCTTTATCGACCGGGCCAAGAAGATAGACACTATATCCAGAGCCTGCTTCCCATTAGCCTTTCTGATTTTCAATATTTTCTACTGGGTTATTTATAAAATTCTTAGGCATGAAGATATTCATCAACAACAAGATTAAGTCTCTGGAGGCATGCAAGGAAGCTCAAATGATCAATTCTGAAGAAAGTGTATTTGCTGTTGTACGTGTATGCGTGTATGTGTGTGTGTGTGCGTGATGTAAAAGTGACCATTGTATTAAACCAGCATAAAGATGAGTTGTATTTTGATTTGCTATGCAAAGTAACAAGAGGATTTAAGATTCTTTTAATGGATACAAAATATATATTATCAGAATTCTACATCTGTTTTTTCCACAGTAAATTGCATAAATGGAAGCTTTGCTGCCAATGTGTTTGTATGTTATGTAATATCATATAATGATAGTAGATGTGAAAACTACTTTGGAATTCTTTGATTTCTAATTCAATGATTTTAAAAGTTATAAAGCAAAATTGGCACAATAAAGATTATAAACAACAAAGGAAACCATGTTGAAAATAGTAAAAATCTATATGGTAGTGACAGTGGTGATGTGCCTTGGAGTTGGTTCCTTCTCTTGGCACAGACCTGGTACAGGGATTTCCCGATGCTGTAAATCTCTACGGGATCAGAAAGCCTCATCTTTCACTTGAGAGCCAGTAGTAGTTTCTGACTGCTGACCTTGAGGTTAGCTGCCGGACTAGTAACCATTACGCTACCAGAGCTCCTTAAAAATCTATATAGGTTCAAACAAAAACATTTTCTGATACTAGAGTTATAACATAGGAAAATAATCAGTCTATTCAGTGGAAAATTCATTTAACATTAATGAAGATCTATCAATACATTGTTATCATTGAATCAACATATAATAAAAATTCAGTTAGAAGATTAAAAGAAACTATTTAGTATATTAAGAAAATTTAAGCAACTTAAGAGACATTATACACAAAATCCAGTTTTTGTACATTTTATATTTCAGTGAATGATGGTAGAAATACTGAAAATAATCGGTTTGCTTCTAAATAGTGTTATAACTGTGTATTTCTAATTATTGACAAACACTGAAAAATTCACGCTAGCATGTTTATTTTTGTTAGAGTGTTAATAGAAACTTAATTATCTGTATGTGATTATGTTTAATCTTTGAAAATAACTGAACAAGTGTGTACGACTTTTATATTTTAATTAAGAATGAAATTTTAAGATTCAAAGGAATTTACATTTTAATGATTTAAATGAAAACAAAACAATGAATTGATTAAAGAATTTTTAAAGAAGATCAATTTTCCCATCAAAGTTATAGGGGTTCAATTTCCTAGCTCCAAGTATAAGAAGAGAGCATTTTAATTAAAAATTATGTAAATGTCCTTTATACAAAGTGGGGATAGATTGTTTTTATATTTCTATACTAATGATTTCAATATATAAGCCATTCACTAGATGTGAATAATTTTAAATGATTTTTTTTTACTTCAAATTTGACAATGATCCCATGGGATTATTTCAACTATAACTGCTTTCATTAATCAGTTCTTGGTTAAATTGACAGACGCTTTTCAGTTTTGCTGTTTTCTGCATTGTATTTACCATCAATATTGTACTTAAGAAAACTCTAAAATGTTTTTAGATTCCTTTAATTGATGGTTATATCCAATTGTCAGAATTATTCAGAAAGGCTTAAATAAGAAGTAAAAATTAAATAAAATCTAAGAAGAAATAAAGTTGGTTATTGAACCAGATGATATTTTGTGACCTTCAACCACTGACAAACTAAAAGACAGAATTACCATTTAAAATTAAAACCTTAATGTTTTAATGCAGTATGGGTTGTTTTTTTGTTTTGTTTTATTTTTTCATTAAGTGCCATTGAGTTGGTTCCAATTCATAGCAACCCTGATGAGCTGCTGGTGAGTTTGAACCCCACATCTTGTGGTTCAAACCAACCTGTGGTCCAGTGCTATTTCCCACCAGGACTCCATATTGCACTATGGTCTATCCAATTGTAATTTCTTAAAGTAACTTTAAAAAGATATGCGTGGTCAGCAGTTTTGTTGATAAAAGATCAAATCCCCATTATTTGAAAGTAGTAAAAGTCATGAGAGCTTAATTTTAAAGGTAGTACTTTGTTTGACAGTGTATTGCAAGTTTAACACCTTTGACATGGTATAGTCTTATTTTTCTATCACTATTAATGAACATTGCTTAAGCTTTCCTTCTCTGACAGGTTTCTGCCTTACACAGGTTCTGGCTTTCACATATTTTACAGTTACTTGAAAACTCAAGTAAAAATAGACACACACTTGGTATTCTTTGTAAGTGACACAAATGAAAAAGGTTATTTCTATAGACTTATTGTGAGTATTGTAGACCAACTTCGTTGTTGTTATTAAGTGCCTTCCATTCAGCTCAACTCATAGTGGCCTTATACAGTGTTTCCAAGGACTTTGAGTTAACAGTCCATTGCTTGTCTTATAGCGTCATACCAGGACTCCGCTTTGTGCTTAAAAACCTGATCATTTGCAGACAAATATATGCTTCTTCATTTGGTGTGTATGAACAAGACCAGAAAAACATATTTTTACACTGAAGATTATAACAGGTCATGTTGTTTGTGCTCTCTGAAGATTAGCTAAGGGGTTTTAGATAATGATAAATTGTATTCTATCAATGTGGCTCAGAAATACGTGAACATATTTTTCATATTTGACACATCTTATTAAAAGCTTTCCCACCATTCTTTAAGTAAATTCAGCTAGAAGCAAATAGAAATATGATGAGCAGAACTGTGCATGCATCTATATAAATTAACTGTCCAGAGTAATTCACAAATAATACTAGCTTTCATATTTGAAAGTATTAAAAATGTCTCTATTTATAACCTGCAACTTGGAATGTAAAAAGATTAATCATGAGACAATCTGTAAACTAGGATGCTAGAATGGTTGAAATCCCTCTAATGCAAATGTATTATGCTTTGCTTAGGCATTTTGTTCATGTTATATTTATTGCAGTTTAATATTCTTACAGCCTTAATTCAAATGACAGTTGTTCTTGTTAAGTACCATGGAGTCGGTTCCGACTCATAGTGACCCTGTAAATTTTTACAGGAGCAGAAATCCTCATCTTTCTCCTGTGGAAATGCTGGTAGTTTCGAACTGCTGACCTTGAGGTTAGCAGCCCAATTCGTAACCACTATGCTACCAGAGCTCCTTTCAAATGACAGTACTGACAAATAAAACATGACTGGGTTAAAATATATATACAAGATAAATTCATAGACTTTATAAAACTCTTTTAGAGCACTTCCGGTTTGGTGACAGCAGAGCAGAGTCAGGTAGGAGAGGCTCCATGGGGGAGGGGTTGAAAACCCAAAGATACTGTTCTCACAGAACAGCACCAGAGCTCTGAATCTAGCATAAAGCTCAGGGCATCAGTTTTCCACAACCACCAGGGGTAAAATCATGGTATAAAGGAAAATATTGTGATTTAGAAATCAGTCAAGACATGTGATTCCCTCTGTGGCCATTCTGCCTGGGCTGAGGTCAGAGGACGATTTTACAGCCAGATGGGCACAGGGAACCAGTGCTAAAAGTGGTGCAGTGATATTTGCAAAAAGAGGTGTTGGGGGATTCTACACATTTTTTCCTCCTCTTCCCTGTCACACCTTCTTTGCCAAACCTGGACACCTTCAGGCGGGTGGGTGCACATCCCCAAAAAAGTCCAGTGTTGAGACCACAGCTTTCCCACAGCACAGAGAGAAAGAGACCCATTGGTCCAAGGGCAAATTATTGGCTGCTGCTTTTGACTTCTGCCTGTGGGTTCCAGCCCTAAAGTTAACTTGTGTGGGACCCTTTACTCCTGCCTATACAGCATGAAAAATAGCAGGTTTGGCCTGACAGACAAACCATATGAACAATCTACAAAACCCCAAGATAAAAAGAAGCAACTATTTCATGAATTATGCTGTGCACATGCAGATACCTAACTGACCTTCAGAGACAAAAATAGTAAACAATCTTTCTCCCATTAACTTCTCAATATCTCTCTGTGCACTCTATGGTGGTGACTAGAGGAGGGACCTGAGAGAGTAGACACCTCCACCCATTACTGGAGGCTTCTAAGGTGCACACACATTGCCTATGCAACAAGGCGACTGGCCAGTCAGCCACATTTTTATTTTTGTTTCAAAGTGGTGTTTTTTGTCTCTGCCTGTATATTGCTTCTACTTTTGGGCCTTTTATGACACATTTTTCATGGAGGTGGGAGCTCTTACTCACTAATTACCCAAGAAGAGTCATCAATCATGGCCATATAGCCAAGCTACAAGCATAACCCATAATATTCCACCATTGAGACAAGAGCCAATAACAGCTTCTAAGCATTACATGCGAAAAAGAAAGCCTATCTTCTGATCATATCCTCCAGGAGACACCCAATAAGCTTAATAACACAGCAAAAACATCCATTTAAGCATTAAAACCCACATAACTACTGGAAATGATGAAAAAAAAAAAAAAAAAAGATATCAAAACATGTCCAAAAACAGAAAAGAGTAACTGAGACAAATGAGCTGTAGACGGACAAAGGCTTTCTAGAAGATGAAGAGCAGGTTTTGGATTTTCCTGAGAAGGAATTCAGAAGAATGATATGGAAACAAATTCAAATGCTCCAAAAAGGGGTGGAGGACAACAAGGAAGAAGTCAGAAAAGTACCACAGGAGCAATCAAAGAAGATTGATACAGCATTGGGAACAATTCAAAACCTGCAAAAAGAGGTCCAGATGATTAAAAATAAAATGTCAAAAATGGACAATACACTGAAAGGGAAAAGGAGAAGAAGAGAAGAGATGGAAGCCAGAACAAGCAAGATGGAAGACAAAACTTTCAATACTGCTATGATAGAAGAGCCAGCAGGAAAAAAGGATAAAAAAATTATGAAGAGAGTCTAAGATTCATGCTGGACAACATGAAGAGGAACAACTTAAGAATTATTGGCATTCTGGAAGAGGAAGAATCAGAGAAGTCCACAGAGGAGATAGTGGAAGAGCTTCTGGAAGAAAATTTCCCTAACTTCTTGACAAATGAGAAGTTAAATATTCAAGAAGCTGAACACACACCAGGAAGAATAGAACACTAAAGAAAATCATCAAGAAATATAATAATCAAGCTCTCCAAAATCAAAGACATGGAGAGAATCCTAAAAACAGCCAGGGAAAAGAGAAATGTTATTTACAAAGACAAGCAAATCAGATTGAGCTCTGACTATTCAACAGAAACCATGCAGGCAAGAAGGCAATGGGGAGACATATACAAAAGCCTAAAAGAAAAAAGACTGCCAACCAAGAATCATATATCCTGCAAAATTGTTAATCAAATATGATGGTGAAATCAAAACATTCCAGGATAAACAGAAGCAAAGAGATTTTGTCAAAGCCAATCCAGCACTTCAAAACATCATAAAGGTAGTTCTTTAGACTGAAAACC